TCTTCTGTAATTTCTTGGATTGAGTTTTATATTGTTTGCCTCGTGCTTTATTCTCACTTCCAATTGCATTGCCTTTATTGATAATGAGTTCTAGAGACTCGAGAGAACTAATATAATGGTTGAGATACTTAGATGTAATTATTACTAATCGATATTAACACGGTCGCATCTTTTTATAAGTCAGCCACCTCTGCAACTAATTAATGATAATACGAATATACAACTAAGAAATCCTAATCATAGCAGTAGCAACTGCTTATATAACCTTGAACCAACTCATTTACTATTCTCAATAATGGGCAGTTCTATATTTAAAGAATGTATGATCATAAGTTCATAACTCGGCTCATTTTTGTGGCCCATCTCACAGAGACATGATTTGTGAGGGTATATATATTTTCCCCAGGTTGTGTAGCTGGTCCTGCTTTTGTTATTTTGTGGTTTAATATGGTTGTGAACTTTGCAGTTTGTTCACTGCATCGTTTGGGCAAAAGATCTACTTTTTGCGAAGTTATTTGGAGATAAGAATCAAGAAAACGATCTAAACGTACGTTCAAGTGATTCTGCAAGTTCATCAAATCATGCTGAAGATATATTTGAACTTTACAAAGACGAAACCATTGAGCAGTATGGAAGAAGAGTGTTTGATCATGTTTTTGGGTACAATATCGAAGTAGCCTTATCTAACGACGATACATGGAAAAATCGCAATAAACCGAGGCCTATTTATAGTAGGGATATCCTGCCTGATGAACCAACTAAACAGAACGGAAACTCAGACAAAAACTGTGCCACTGACGATCAAAGTTCGTTTTCTGCCATGACATCTCTAGGCATGAAAAATCCCCAGGAGATATGGAGTCTTATGGAAAATTCCAGAATCTTCATCGAGGCTATTAAGCTTTTTTTCACTAAAAGGGAAAAGGTTTGGTTTTGACTTCTCATTTTATGATTAAAACCTTAAGATTTCTTGATGTTCTTGTAGCAGCAAGTCTTGGGTTTGTGGACTTTCTAAATGGGTGTGCTATACAGGATGTTGGGAACTTGACTTTTGATAAAGATGATCAGTTAGCTGTGGAGTTTGTAACTGCTGCTGCCAATATTAGAGCTGAATCTTTTGGTATTCCAATGCATAGCCTTTTTGAATCTAAAGGTATTGCTGGTAACATTGTGCATGCTGTTGCAACAACCAATGCTATTATTGCTGGGTTGATTGTGATCGAGGCAATTAAGGTGCTGCAAAACGATGCAAACAATTATCGGTACGTGGAGTTTCTTCATATTGCTATGGGATTCCATTTCTGTTCTGTTTTGATCTTAGTTATTGTGGTTTACAGATGTTCTATAGCTGCTCTGGAATATTGTTATGTGGTTTATTATTTCTGTGCTTGTGCATCATTTTACTGAGTATTATTATTTTGTTTGTGGTACGTTATTTCTGTGTTAGTATTGTTTTTGTGAGATCCCACATTGGTTGGTGAGGAGAACGAAACATTCTTTATAAGGGTGTGGAAACCTCTCCCTTGCAGACGCGTTTTAAAACCTCGAGGGGAAGTTCGAAAGGGAAAGTGCAAAGAGGACAATATCTGCTAGCAGTGAGCTTGGGCTGTTACAAGTGGTGCCAAAGCAAGCATCGGGCAGTGTGCCAGCGAGGGTGCTGAGCCCCGAAGGGGGGTGGACCAGCGAGGACATAGGGCCCCAAAGGGGAGTGGATTGTGAGATCCCGCATCGATTGGAGAGAGGAACGAGTGCTAGCAAGGATGTTGGCCCCAAAGGGGGGTGGATTGTGAGATCCCACCTCGGCTGGGAAGGAGAACAAAACATTCTTTATAAGGGTGTGAAAACCTCTCCCTAGTTAGCTGATGCATTTTAAAACCTTGAGGTATTAGAGCCCAAGGAGGACAATATCTACTAGCGGTGGGCTTGGGCTATTACAAATGGTATTAGAGCTAAACATCGGGCAGTGTGCCAGCGAGGGCGCTGAGCGCCGAAGGGAGGTGGACTAGTGAGGACGCTAGGCCCTAAAGGGAGAGGATTGTGAGATCCCACATCGATTGGAGAGAGGAAAGAGTGCCAGCAAGGATGTTGGACCTCGAAGGGGGATGAATTGTAAGATCCCACATCAATTGGAGAGGGGAACAAGTGTCAGCGAGGACGTGGTTAGAGAGGAGAACGAAGCATTCTTTATAAGGGTGTGGTAATCTCTCCCTAGCATACGCGTTTTAAAACCTTGAGGGTGTGGAAACCTCTCCCTAGCAGAAACATTTTAAAACCTTGAGGGGAAGCCCGAAAGAGAAAGTCCAAAGAGGACAATATCGGCTAGCGGGGTGGGTTTGGGTGGTTACAGTTTTACCTTTGTGACAAACCCATCTATGTTCTAATTGAAACGACATTTGAAAATGCTGGTGATACCTTGAGAAAAGCAAGAAAGATGCGCATGTATTAAACTTGTTGCCTGTCTTCTTGTTCTCTTGAATCTTATCTTAACTTGAATGCGCATGTAGGATGACGTATTGTCTCGAACATCCTTCGAGGAAGATGCTTCTTATGCCAGTGGAACCTTTTGAACCTAATAAATCCTGCTACGTTTGCTCCGAGGTACTTTCAATGATTCTCATTCTCGAGTGTTTTGTCGGGTTATGTTGTGGAATTCCATTGCAGATTTATACTTCACTTGCACATATTATGATGAAAACAGACACCACTATCACTCGAGATAAATACGCATAAAGCAAAGCTGCGAGATTTTGTCGAGAAGATAGTCAAGGTGAAGCTTGGGATGAACTTTCCGCTTATTATGCATGGATCGGCCCTTCTTTATGAAGTTGGCGATGATCTCGATGAAGACATGGTGGCAAATTACGCTGCTAACCTTGAGAAGGTGTGATTTTCTTGTTAAATGCATTAATCATTGGTCTTTTCCCCATGAAAATTTAGTCTTTTCTCACGTGTTTCAGGTACTGTCGGAGTTCCCTTCTCCAGTCGTTAGCGGGACAATATTGTCGGTTGAGGATCTTCAACAAGAGCTTAGCTGCAGTATAAACATCAAACATAGGTATTTCAACTTGCTCATTTTTGCACTTGGCATATGATGTTTTCATATGTGAGATCCCTCATCGGTTGGAGAGAAGAATGAAGCATTCCTTAAAAGGGTGTGGAAACCTCTTCCTAGCATACGTGTTTTAAAACCGTGAGGTTGACGACAATACTTAATGAGCCAAAACAGACAATATTTGTTAGCGGTGGGTTTGGGTTGTTACAAATGGTATCAGAGCCAGACACCGAACGGTGTGCCAATGAGGACGTGGACCTCGGATCCCACGGCAATTGGAGAGGAGAATGAAGCATTCCTTATAAGGGTGTGGAAACCTCTCTTAGGTAGACGCGTTTTAAAACTATTAGGCTAACAACAATACATAACGAGCCAAAGCGGACAATATTTGCTAGCGGTGGGTGTGGGTTGTTACATCATATTTTTCTTATATTTGAAAGTCAAACTGAACAGGTAGCTCCATAGAAAATGATTGATCTCTGTTTCCTTAATAAAGATAATATCTTGTTTACGCTCCTGTTGTTTTTTCGAGGAATTGGATTGGAGCTAATAGTTTCAAATACAATGTTCTCGTCCATTAAAAAAGTGTAGATTTCTATCTTTGTACTCGTAAGTTCGAGTTACTTTTACAAGAATCAGAAATAATCTGTGCAGAGATGAATTTGATGAGGAGAAGGAACCAGATGGTATGGTTCTATCTGGATGGCATCAAACTTCCCTGGAAAAGGGTGATAGCAGCAAGACTTTGGGCAATGGAGAAAGCATTTCAACACCCTCTGCTACAGAGGCCGATAAGAACGAAGACTCAGACATTGTTGCGTCGGGAAGGAAACGAAAACTAGACGAGGCACCTTCTTCAGCTGTCGATATATCAAGTTCGGCTAATGAAGCTAATAGCTTGAAGAAACTTGAAGAGCTTGACGACGACGACGACGACGACCTTGTCATGCTTGATGATGGGGATTCAGCTATGAACAAGAAGAAAAGATTGCAATAATTGCTCCTTGGATTTAACGGAGTGCTAACCTAATTTTGTTATGTTAGGGGAGAAATGGTGATTCATAATTTTTCTTTAGATCTTAATGTGTAGTCTTTTTGGAGTTAGGAGCATCAATTGTTCTATCCTTGTCCCACATCGAGATCAGATGTAGCAAACTAGCAGAATATTATATTTCCAAGCCTCACATCCAGAAGATAGCGTGATTGTAACACTAAACAGAAGTCTCAACGTTTTGGAAACTTATACTATATGATGACAGTAAACAATTAAATATATTTAAAACACTTATTTAGTTGGCCAGCCTAACCCACTGGTAAATGATGAGTAATATTAAAAGTAATCCTAGAAATAAAGTTTGGAAGAATCTAAACATCTCTAACCTTGAATTTCAAAGCAGGTGATTAAACAGCTGATAATGTAGAACCTAAAATACTACCTGCAGAGCATAATGGAGGGAAGCCACCTCCTGTTTAGCTGCAATTGCTTCCCTGTTACAAATTGTGTTCCTCAGACTGACGACGATATGTAATAGATCAAAACGAATAATATTTGTTAACAATGAGCTTAGGCTGTTACATATGGTATCAGAGCCAAACATGGTTGATCTACTGACGAAGACACTGAACCCTTAAGGCCACATCGGTTGAAGAAAAGAATAAAACATTCCTGGTAACGGTATAAAAACCTTTCCCTAATAAATGAAACACATTTTAAAACTTTGAGACAGGCAACGGTACATAATGGGTCAAAGCTATCCGCTAGTGATGAGCTCAGATGTACCAACCCATTCGCCACATGATGGATCCTGCCAGGTACACTTGGAAATTTAAAACAATTGCACCACAGAAAATTGCAAGGAAAATGATTTCCAGGGAAATCTATTGAAATATCTGGACCAATGAGTTGAGGTTACACAATTTAAAACACTTCCCTGGAAATTTTTCAAGGTACACATAATGAAGATCATACATCCATAGACAGTATTGAAGAAGTGATCTTATGAATAATATTCTTAACCTATTAAGGTAATGCAAAGAAACCATAAACCATAGGATCTACGATTGGCGGGCAATTTTAATCACTGATTAACATATAATGGTTATGTCAAAAGCACTAAACTCCGTCATAAGAGAGCTATTGCCCCCTCCCTTAACATGAGACCCCTACGTTAACATGAACAATGAAGGGAGAGGGAAGGATCTGTTTCTTCTAAAAGATGAACCTAGACTAGATATGCTTTGCATTTGCTTATTTATTCTGTGTTACTCAGTCCAAGAGGCCAAAACTTGCAGTCACAAACCATTCTCTCTTGTGAGTATCTAGAATTATCAGTCCCATCTTAATGATTCAAGGGCTTGTTGATGGATAACTTTATCCCCAGCTGCTAACACATTAAAACCTGAAATAAAGAACAGTTTAGTTTTATGTAAAACGAGCACATTTTATAAAGTTTACATGAAAGTGTACATTACTTGTTGCAGGGGAATTAGGCAAGGCTTCCCAATAAAGTTCCTCTCCTTTCCAATCGGTTATCACACCACCAGCCCCTTTGATTATGGGTATTAGAGAGAGAAAATCATACGGCTGAAAGAATCAAAAGCTATCTTGATTAGATCATCATATACTAGGCAATTCAATGCATAAACTGGCCATATAAATAGTGCATGAGCTCGATTTGTAAGAGTGTTCCACATGGACTTTGTTTTTTCTCGACTATTGGCCACGTGAATTAAAACGATGATCATGTATGAGTAAGCCATGCATATGGCAGCCTAACAAATTACCTTGAGCCCAGATTCAATCACAAGATCTACAAAGCCAGATGCTAAAAGGGCATACGCATAGCAGTCACAACCATACAGGGGAACTTTTACCTGCACAACAATGTCAATTGTGAATATAAGATCGAACTTGCTCAAGATCTCTTTTAGATTGATGGGCTAGAGGAAAAACAATAAGATATATATCCATAAAGAATAAAGTGAAAACTGCTCAGAGTCTATTCTATTAACTTTCTTCATCTGGTGTGCATCCCAGTGGGTTAATTAAGCCAGGGAGATATGCTGTCCTAACAATCATGTGCATATTCTCGTTTCTTCCGAGCTACCAAGACCGACCTGGCTGAGGGTGATCGGCAAGTTGTCTTCACTTTAACATAGAGCTACCGTTTGAAGTTTGGATAACAAAGTTAGAGTGGCCGCTTGTGGACACCACTCACCTCAGGAGGAGCACTGCTGTAAAGAGAGTAGGTTTGCACCACCATTGGCCCAAAAAAGCTATGCGTTAGCTACACGCACAACCAATCTATATTGCTTCCACAGCCACAAACCAGCGCGTAAGAGAGCGTGGGGAGTCTGATTTGCTTTTTGTTGCCTGGGTTTGTCTCGGGTTATGTTTTTTGCTGTTTTGTGTATTTGATTTCACCAAAGCCTAATCGGGTGAGAAGATATTTGGAGAATAGCACTCCTTTCCTAGGTTCAGTTTTGTTTTTCTAAGAGTTTTGGTTATGTTTTTGCCTCAGTTCTGCTTTTGCTTGTCTGAGGTTAACTGTCCGTTGGTGTGTTCCTAATGGATGAGATGATGCCTATGGTGATATCCAATGTGGCTCCTCTCACCTCGAAGAACACAGAACATAAGTTAAATGGTAAAATTACTACAATTAGAGTCATACAAATTGATTTTGTTTACGAAGCATTGATATGGATGGTCATATAACCCTTAATCCCCCGAAAGATAACACAAAGAAGAAGACTTAGTATTACAATACTAGCAAACTCATGGTGTGTAATCAAGTTGCACTTTGCATTGCATCTCATCCAAGTGAACTGTTGCTACAATCTCATAGATCCAAGACATAATGTAACAATCCAAGCCCACCACTAGCAGATATTGTCTTCTTTGGGCTTTCCCAAAATGCGTCTACTAAGGAGAGGTTTCTACACTCTTATAAGGAATGTTTTGTTCCCCTCTCCAACCGATGTGGGATCTCACACGTAAACTGCATTTCACTCCCTTGGAGGTGGTAGAACTTTCTAAGGTGGTAAAACTTTCTATCAATTCCAAAATCAGTGGTTCTTTCTAACCATGTGCACCAAATAAAACATCAAGTGAACTTCCGATGCTTTTATCAGAAAATGGGAAAATACATCTTTTATCTTGGTATCAAACACCATGAGAAATATTGAGAATATTTAAGTATTTTCGTTATCATGCATACCTTGTTCCTCACACGAGCAAATGCCTCATCCGCTTCTCCACTAAATAGATGAGGGCTTGTCGTATATCTACATAGACAAGAGGGTTCATAAGAAACAACCAAACGAAACCAAAATAAGAAGGGCGAAAAAGCTTTTAGCACATACACCCAAGAATAGAAGGCGAAAAATAGACCCATCAACTTATGGAGTCTAGATTTTGATTCCCAAGCTTTACCTCCCTTCTCTTATTCCATGAACTCCTAGATTTAATTTCAATTTTGGTCAATTTAGTCTTACCCATTCAAGTCTTATCCTAAACTATTTAAAAAGAAGGAAAGGATTCTCTACCCTGCCTCCAATATCTGCACAGATCCCAAAACATTAAAGAAACATACAAATAATGCGAATACAATTGAGGATACTATTGCTCACCATGCGTAATATAGCAATAACCTGAACTTTGAAACTAAGAGAAGAAAACACCATAAAAGAGAAAACATACAAATAGGCCTGTGATATGTCTGAACAAGATCTTGTAGATACATTTTGTCCATTCAATGCAGTTCTCCTCCCACTTATTCCTATCCATCTTTCTCTCAGAACAGGCTGATCGATGATGCCCAGAATCTGAAGATCAACACCATCTTATCATTAATATAGCAGATAAAGGTAGAACATTGGGGATACATTTTTAGATATTTTCATCTCCATTTCTCCATTTATAACTTCACAACTGCATCACTATGTTTCCTTTCTATTTGATTCAAAATTGTTTGGATTTGAAACCAATGTCAGGGCTTTTTTGAACAATAGAACAAACTACACACTTAAATAAGGAGGAAATATAATGATGCAATAAGAGAGGAAGAGTGTGGTTGATTGTCCTTACTGGTTTCCCTCTATATAACAATGCAATCAGAGTGCCAAATAGGGGTTTTCCTGAAACATCCGATGATCAATAAACAACTAAATCAGATAAGGAAGAAGGAACACCCGGAAAGTACCAGTAATAAAACTCTTTGTGCCATCTATTGGATCTAAAACCCAAACAAAATCAGCTGAATTCTCTTTGCATCTCCATCCTTTTTCCTCACCATATCTGCAGTCACGACATATATATATAAGGAAATGACACACCATAGATCGACATCATCATTTCTAGACTTAAACAAAGAGTTTCACAAGGGATTGAAATTTTAGGTCGATATTAGCCTCGTGCACGATTTGGCAATCGTTTCTGAGTGCCAACGAGAAAAGTTGGAAAAAACTAACATAGCATGAGAAGGAAAGTTCTCCATTAAAACTGAAACCATAGATTCCTCCGCTGCTTGATCAGCCACAGTCACAGGACCTGCATTGATTCAGAAAGCAGCCCCAAAACCAGACCTTTGTTATTAGGTACACAGCACTACGGAAAAAGGCCTTCTAACTAGTTGTGAACCATGAAAAGTGAAAAAGTATATAAGAAAATGCCTGATTTTGTTGTACATACGAATGTCTAGATATTGAATTTCCGGGCAAAAAATATGCCTAGCAACCTACACTTTACCAATTAGGGAGGCTTTTCATAATCTTCTTTGAAGATGGTATGGGAAGAAATGTCTTATCTTCTCCTCGTTTCTCTTTTTTCTTCATAGAATTATACCATCTAAAAGAAGAATCAATGACTAGAGATAGAAAAATTGAAGAAAAAAAAAAATCAAGTACCATCCCTTTTTCTCTTATTTTCATTGACATCTATTTGCATGCAGAAACTGATAATATAAACACATTAAAAAACACATCACTTTGTTTTTCTCCCGAAAGCAATTGAACCATCTTCGAAACTCCCAGCATTTTCACCTCCTAATCAACAACCTTCTCTCTTAATCTTATCATCTGTTAAAAAATTTCACCTTGGCATTTCATCAAACACTTCATTACCCATTAACACTACCAGCACATTACACCCAAAACAAAAAAAAAAAAAAAAA